GTAGACGTATCAGTGGGCCCAAATCACTCCAACTGCACACGCTCCATACCATCACAGAGCCTCCTCCAACTTCAACAGTCCCCTTGTTGACATGCAGGGTCCTTGAATCCATGAGGTAGTCGCAATACTCGTACTCGTCCATCCTCTTGAAACAATTTGAAACGAGACTCATCAGACCAGGCAACGTGTTTCCAATCATCAGCAGTGCAATGTCGGCGTTGACGGGCCAGGGCGAGGCATAAAGCTTTGTAGCGTGCAGTCATCAAGGGTTCACGAGTGGGCCTTCAGCTCGGAAACTCCATAAAGATAATATCTTGTTGAATGGTTCGCACGCTGACACTTGTTGATAGCCCAGCATTCAAATCTTCCGGTTTGTGCGCGATCTGTTTGCGGCTGCAGCAGTGCCGGAGGCTTAACCATTTACCTGATTCCCGATCTTCACCGTACACCCATGAAATGGTCATACGAGAAAATCCAAATTTCTTTGCGACCTCGGAGATGATATACCCCATTTATCTTGCGCAGATTATAACATCACGTTAAAACTCACATAAATCGCGAAAACCTACCATTGCAGCATCAGTAACCGATCTAATAACTCCGGTTGTCTTGTATAGTCGTAGCAGACCTGAGCGCTGTATTGTGATTGTCTCCAGATCTCTTTATTTAAATACGCATGGCTGTACCAGTTTTTTTGGCTCTTCAGTGTATTACATTTGTTATAGTAAATGACTTGTTCATATTACCGGAAAAGTGATTCTCCTTAATAGAATCTTTATAACAACAATATGAACATTCTTGGGTAGTTCAGCGAAAACAGCCCTACAGCATTTTTTCATGATGTCAGTTATGATGAGTTGTATTATCTAGTATAACGGCGTCCTGTGTTTATGAAAAGTACTTATTTATATTTGATTCTTTTTTAAGAAATTTGCATGTATGACATTTTTTATTAACGATTAATCCAGCCAAAACGTTTTGTTTCACGCTTTGAGAAACTAATCTCAATTAACACAATGAAATAAAATGTTTGCTACAATCTGTTAAAAGAGTAAACAGGGTCTTCAGAGAGCAAACAGATGCATAGCACAGTTTTTAGTTCACTGTCTTCTGTGTACTAGTGACGAGATGTAGTAGTGAGTAGTGACGACTACGTACGTAACTACGTACATAACTACGACTACGTACAGCCATGAAAATTGAGTGACGATTACGAAACGGAGGCAGGGGAAACGGGGTATATGCTACGTTTAGCAACTCCTGAACTATCGTCTCAGTAATTGAATATTAGAACACTAAATCTTAATATATGAAATCCATATCTTTTCATAAACTCTGAAAGTTAATAAACCTATGGTGATACTACAATTAAATGCCTAAAATACCGGGAAAACGTAAGGGGGAAAGTAACTGCTGCCCGTGTGCTGCAGGGCTTCTTGTTGTCATCCGTCTCCAATCGACGTGGCCGAAGGGCGCGGAGAGGTCTGCTACCTGTCCAATAGGTTCTGTGGTCCTGGAAGAAAATCTTATTCCTGTCAGGGCTAAACCTGGCTGACGATGTATTTGAAATTTGCGAATTTGTTTGAGGATTTGGCGAGGAGAGCACGGCTGAGTGAACTCAGACTGGTCCTGTCTCGAGGAGGTCCTAGGGTTCGAGTCCAGCGGTGGCAGATTTTCCAGGAGAATGCTAGCGACCGACTGCTCCGGTCGGTAGTTGTCCGTGATATCTGCGAAGAATACCAGACGGATGCCGAAGCAGTACTCTAAGATACGGGTCGCGAACCGCGATCTTTTTCACTTATGTCTCGCCTTATTCACTCACCTTCCACCGGCATGTGCTACACTGCCACGTATGTTGAGAGATCGGTCGTGTGCTTCGAGCTTGACCCGGTTCGATCCATCTCCGACGGATCTCACTCCCTAGCGGGGCAGGAGCACCGCCACCTCCCGGGATCAAACATTGAGAACCCTGACGACACTACTGACCGTAGCAGTGGAGGAACCGTGCAGCTTCAGTCAACGGAGCAGGCAGGAATCGCGCGAGATGTGGTGCAAGTGTGGATATCGTGTAATTGGCACTCGGAGAGTCGCCTCGGGGCGAAGGGGGCGGGGCGGCCGC